TGAACCCCATCCTCAGAAAGGGAGCAACTACAGAGTGTCTGACTTGGATCTCCACAGCTGTCTGGGAGGAAGTCCTTGCCCCTAAGCACCGGAGCAGCTTCCCACAGGCTATTCACAACAACACAACAGGCCCAAACATTTTTTTTTTCTATTTTTCAAAGGAACCAAATTGATGCTCAACTGTACAAAACTGAACACAGCCAATTACCCTAATGCAAACAGACACTTCCTGAAACAATTTATCTATTTAAATTCTTTTTATATCTCAGATTTTACTAAAAAGAATTTGCTCATAAGTAGCATATTTCTGTGATTGATAACTTGTTTATAACTTTCCTTATCTATCTGGGTTGATGCTTTGAGACTGTAAAGATCATATTATTCATTTTCAACTAAGAATGTTTAAATGATGAGCTCAATTCCTCCAGCTGGTGCATCTTGAATATTGTTTAAAAAACAGACCAATGTCTAGCCTCATAAACAGTGTACATAGTCTAATAAAAATCACAAATTGTGCCAGACTCCAGCTTCATACCTCATGTGGCTTCAAGCTATGGACAATCAATCATAAAATATCCAACACTAAAACCCTACTTAAAATACCTTACAACTAAAAAAGATATCCCTTAAAAAAACAAAACAAAACCTCACTCATTTTGTGACAGTCAATTCACAGCAGTTGATGAACAGGCATGGGAGGGTGCCTACTGGCTACTGTTCTGCACTCAAGTGCTCTATTTCTTGCCTAGTAATTTCAGTTCTTGGGATGGATAAAACTGCACAGATGACATACTTAACACTCTAGTCAGTGGGTTGAGGGAACAAAGACTGGATGATGCAAAAGTAGCATTTTCTGGCTGTCAAATGAGTTCTGTTTAATATTTATCAAATACAAAAATGGTGATTGGGATTTGAGGACATATATTAAGAAAGGATAAAAATAGCTGCATCTCTCAAACTTTAAGACGGGTACTTTTTTAACTTATAAGGAAAAACAGGGAGGACCAAAATGACAGGCAAGTTAATTTAGGTGAGAAGCTCTTTTGAAAACATGGCCTAAGAGGTTCTGCTAATGAACTCATTTAAAATGTTTTCTCTTTAGGCAAAAAAGGACAGGAATGTCTGAAGTCCTCTGTGCTCTACAGATCCCAGTAGGAGTGATGGCATCTCTACGGTTCAGTGCACTTTGGAAAAACTGCCCTTTACTTCAAGAAACGTGAGTTCTTAGAAGACGGCAAACAATTGAGAAAGTTCCTTATTGTAACCTATTTTAACAACATACTTACACTGTAAATTCCAGCTGAAAGCTTTCACTTCTATATCAACTCGCACTCTGATGCAAATTACACTAAGGATGTAGAAATGGAAGCCACCCCAACTCTCAAGTTCAGAGCAGATCAACTTCTGAGCATTAAAAATTATAGGAAATTGCATTTATTCTCCTCTCAACACAAGCCCAGTGTGATAGCTGCAACAGCATTATTTTGCTTAACTGTCATACAAAAGTATCATTTGAAAACTTGTTCAGGACCAGTGAAGTATCCTATAACTAAGTCTCTAATTCTTAAATTATAGAGACTTACCATGCAATAAACTGAGAAACTTAAAAATGAAACCATTGTAGTATCATACCTCAGTATTAACTTTTCTATGAAAAATCATGGACTTTTCCCATTCTTACAATGCAGCGTGGCAGTGAAGGCTTTACAACACAGTCCGGGAGAAACCATTTCAAGATTTATTAATATAGATGAAAGAGTCTTTAAAAATTAGTGAACTTGGGAAAAAAAAAGTCTCCT